GCTAGCACCATAAAGGATTTAATAGCGATATGGCATGTCGAAATATTAATATGTTTGCGGTTAAACTGTCCATATAAACCCAGTGTCTCTGGAGTTTGTGCGGTACGGGTGAGCTCGTGTACGACGCGCTTGTGGGCGTAAGATGATAGCACATTTGTCATTCAACTAACAATAAAGTGTTTAATTTTATTTATAAGCGACGCGTGGGTTCTCGTGATCAATTATTTGCTGTTTATCGCTTTTAATGCAATAATATGACTTCATTTCGAGCGTAGAACTGGTATAGAGAATTATCAAATGTATTTGTAAGAAATCAAAACAATTTCATCGCAAGTTTATGGGTTTCATCGCGGTCGTTTAATTGGCGTTAGTAGTCAGGTTGGTACTGATGTGCCTACCTTTTCATGTCGTTTCGCAGTGATTTGTAAGTCACGAATGCTTTTGCTTTCTGCTGTCGTGTCAGTTTGCTGTTTACTTTGTTTTTGTGGAGTGTACATACAGTAATGGTGTTTAATATAACACATATACCTACTTACGACGTGAAGCATTTTAGCGACAATGTTTTGTTGACTTATTAATATTTATTAAATATGGAAATTACATATTTTGTTTGTACACGTTAAATAAATATCAATTTTAAGTAAAACTGACAGTAATTAAGTTAATTATACAGGGCATACTAAGACAAAAGCCAAGTAGAATAGCAATCAAACTGAACTTTTACAAAGTGGAATTATTTAAACAAAATTACGAAGTTTTCGCATTAAATTGGTCACGTGACCGAGCACTTTGTATGAAGGTTTAAAATTTAATTGTAAATTTCCACGTTGTTTCTAAGGGAAACTTGTTCAGTTTTATTAATAGTATTGCTATATTTCGGGTTAGTATACCATTTACGACTAACATAATACTAACAAATACCAATTCTAAACTCACACAACATTTCGACAAATATTATTAGTACAATGAAATACTTAAGTAGGTACTTAATATATTCGCCAGTGTACATTTCCTCAGGTACCTATGTATAACTTTGAACGACTTGAAGCGATATCGTTTGCCCTCTTGTTACTGAAACGTGAAACGATTGTGAAGCCAGTAATATCTGTCGATTCACATAAAATTTTGTTATATTTCCAATATGTACGTTTTGGAAGTCGCCGTCGCCGGATTCAGTGGAGTGCTTTAGTTCACAATTTGTGATGCCATTAACCGCGTGCGTGAGAGAGACAGATAATACCGTCGCACCGTTCCCATATTGGGTTCTGAATGTAAATGGCTTCATTTGATTATGTTCTACGTTGTACAAACCCTGTTTGTATTTAGCCCTATATATATATAGCCACAAACAGTGATTTTCACTGTTTGCATGATCAAATCGTTTCTTACTCAACTATAAACCGGAAGGGGGAAAGGGGATTATTAGTAATGTGGATTGATGATCTTATTACTAGCAATGTACCGTGTCAGCTTGACCTCCACAAGGTGCCTCTTGGAAACCATCGTGGTTAAATTCTTGGTGAATATGTCAATGTCCTCTTCCATATTATAGTGTACTTCTGAGTGAATTGATTTGGATTTAATCGCAGGAAGATGTGTGTGTATGATAACGATATTTTCTGTCATTCTAAGGTTTTGTAAGCTACACATAATTCTTGTCATAGGAAAAATAGATTTATTACGTTAGTGCTAAAAGTTGTTTTGTTAAATCCTTAAAGTAGATTTTGCAAAATATTTTTTAATTAATGCAGTTTATTTTTTGTATAAAAAATAACTGACAACAAACAAGATAATAGCCTAAATGGAACGACATTCCAAATGTGGAGATACAATCATGAAATAATGACGGTTGAAAAGTACTTGAAACACAAGTAGGTATAATTAGTTATAAGGATTATTTTTATCTTATCATTACATCTATTGATCGTTGAGGTACTTAGTAATAATACATCAGTCACTAGCCTTTCTAAATAAAGAAAGTATATCTACTTGTTTGTTTAGTTCAACATATACCAGAGCAGGAAAATCTAACCTCTTATCAACTATCTGACCCGCGTAACTCCATCTGCGTTACATAATAAAGATAGAGATTGAGACAGAAGGAATGAATTATCCCTGTATTCTATTGGTCGTAGTGTGATGTTACAACGCTATAAAATTTCTTTAATTCAAAGAAGTAGTTTCTGAGACCAACAAATAAAACTCTTCAACCTTATAATACAATACGGATAACAAATTAATTTGTTCAATAAATTCAAAGAATACCGAAACTTCAATTAATCTACTTTTGAATTATTTATGATCTCAGTTCATAGAATGTAAAAATTTCGACTTATTTAAACAAACCTAATATATAATACAGTTTGCCGTTGCGTAGGTAAATATGTATTGTAATATTTACATAGCGCATGTTTGCAATTACTCATGAGTCAAACATCGTCTTTAGAATTTTGGTATGTACAAGATTACAATATGCCAAACATATTACGGTATTATCAGTTGTTGAGAACCAACTTTGAAACTGTCAACAAGGCCAGCACAAACGTACCTACTAGTACTTTTGAATAGATTTATTTTCGAAGTAACGTTATGTAAAATGATAATAATGAAAAACCAAGATCAACAGGAAACCGTGGCGTTGTGATGTACTTATTGATCATTTGAACCTCTTGACGAAATACCAAATATAATACAGCGTAATAACATGAATGTAGACAAAAAACAAAGAAAGAAAAGTAATATAATATTAATACTATTTAAACCTCTTAACGAATAATAAATACAAGCTCATTTCAAAGAATTATACCAATTTACACAGAAAAGGAAAACTTAATAAGGGTATTTTAAAAATATAAAACAAAACCAGGCAAATGAAAATGATGAATAATTGGCTGATATATTATATTTTATAGTATATTTTTAGGAATATCTGATATCAAGATACGTTTAGGTTATACAAAAAATAGAAGAATTGAAGCAGAAAGAATTCACTCATTTGGTGTAAATATATCTCAATGTAAAATATATATATAATAAGTCTAAACTATTGCCTTGTATGTAAGAAAAAATATTTTGAAATCAATTACTACTCAAGTAATTAAATTGAAAAAGGTTTTTGCTATGGTAGAATTCGAAATATTTTTACATACTAGATGTAGATACTAAATGGATGCCGTAATTAATTCAATATGAAACATAACTAATTTTACTACGATGTTTGGTATAACACAGAAATACAAGTAGTTCCGTTACTAAATTGTATTTTCTACATAGTAATATAACATTAAATCATAAAGGAAAATATATAAGCAGAGCAAACGCTTTTAAAATGTAAGCAAACAGCTAAAGGCTGAAGTGGTCGTAAATTGGTATTTATTATCAGTTCGTGGTAAGCAGATTATTTGCAGTAGGGTGGATACATAGATAATAAGTTTTGGTGTCAGCAGTAGATAACTCGCATTATAGTCTCGATTCCGTCTCGAGCACTAAATCAGTTTTATATATTTTTTTTGTGATATAACACAGAATTGTATTTTTGTAGTAAGTAAAGTAGAATTCAGAGTAATGTAAAAATCTGCTACATAAATAAAATCCAACTGTATACCTAGTACATGGATTAGTACATACATGTGCACTGTATTCGTGAGCTACTGACTGTATTTGCTGAGCCAACTCCCTGATCGGAGCGAACGAAGGATGAGAGCAACACGGCCATCACCCCTTTGAATGCGCTGTTGATGCACAAAATGAACAGCAGCTGGAAGCATGTATGCAACGATATAATGTATAAGAGATACGCTCACGACTTTAGTGCAACTGTACGTATTTGGCTAATTCATATTTATTATGGCTTTTATAATTGATGATGATAAAGATTTGAAAAATCGTTAAAAAATATGTTCCTTTATTGTTAATAGAATTATGAGATTCACGTTCTTTGTTTCGTTTATGTTGTTAGCTTTTTAAAGTTCTCAATTAATTGATTCATTAATTTCACTAGTGCACCCGAAACCGTGGCGGACAAATAGTTTTAAATAAACCTACTTTAGTCTAAAATACGACAATGAGGCAATGGGTACTAAATGTGTAAACTCTGTTTGAGAGCGGCAGATTGCAAAATTAAGACATTTTTTCTAACAGAATTATACGTAAAAGTGGTGAAAGAAAAGTTTGTGTTCAGGTCATGACACAACGCATAAACGTTTATTGTTTACGACGTTATATTAAAAGAAAATAACACAAAAGAAAAACTGAATAGAATGGTAGGTACAATGAAACGTACAAAGCAGCTCTGCAGGGAAAGCTAACCGCAAATTGTTTGTGAAATATTGTAACATCCACGATTCGCTGCGGATTCGTGACCAAGTAATAAATTACTGGTTAAAATATAATTTACATAACCACTCCTATTTATTTGCGTTTTGTGTTATAATAATTTCGATACAATTTCTGTTTACTTAACTTGCCTGTTTACTTAAATTTGTAAGAAGTAGTATATCAAATTTTGAGATATATTACGAATTCAATTATTTACACCAACATATACTCTATATCGATTCGAATCCAATCCAGTTTTGTACAGTTTTTATAAATCTAGATAGATTTATAAAAACTGGATTTCGATGGAATTCGAATAGTCTGTTATTTCGTTCAGTGACAACGATATCTTAAATTTCCAATGTATGTGAATGTTTAAGTTTCATTACAATATAATATCTGTCAAAACCGTAGGTCTTCCACTTTGAAAGAATTTCCCAAAACTCTCACGGGAACGACGAATTCCAAGCGGACAAAGTTGCGCTAAATACCTAGCCAATTATGTGGTTACGGAATATTTTTATTGCTAATGGTCGGCCTGCGGTTGATATTGAAGTTGTCTCGTGGGTATACATTATGGTGTTTATTATTAAAAAGTGTTAAACTTCAATAATAATAAATTAAATTATTTAAATTTTAAATACCTAAATCATATAAAATAAAACTTGTATCTTTGTTTGTAGGAGACGGCAGAAGTATGCGTGGGCACTTCAGTTGGAACAATCACCGAGCCTGACTGTTTGGGGCCCTGCGAGCCTGGTACATCGGTCACGCTGGAGGGCATCGTGTGGCACGAGACGGAAGGTGGTGAGTTGTTACTAGCGCACGAACGCAATGCACCGTAGCGCGCGCTTATATCTCATATACTCTGCACGCTTATGCACGCCTGGTACATGTATCTGCTTTGCGATCCATGAATGCCCATTCGTTTGTCATCATTACTTTTAATTTAATTTAATTAAGTACAACCTTAATGTTCATTCTATGATAAATACTATAGGTACATAATGCAATTATATAATGTAATAATAATGCATTAAATAACCTAAATAGGACGTCTGTTTTAAACTTTGTATATACTTAGTCGACGTCAGTTTTAGGATTGATTATATTAAACATGGTTTATATTAAAATATTTAGTAGTATATTGTCCGTGTGATAACAGTACAATGTGTCATCGAAAAATTGTTTATCACAAACCAAATTAATAGTATGTACATGTGAACGAAATTGTGACATTTGTTTTTTTGTTTCCTTCTTGAAACTGCGTTTGATTTCAAAATACATGTATTGAGATTTATTAATTATTTTATTAACTAAAGCAGTGTATAAAGTGCTGCATTTTATACACTGCTTTAGTTAATAAAATAATAGTCTATTTGAATATCACTCATAATATACTAACATATAAATATTGAAAGTCGTAGAATCTTATTATGGGCATAAATTTAAGTTTTATTGACTGGGTTTTATATATTTTAATTATTTATACTCTACTTTGAAAGAGAGAAAGAGTGAGTTGAAATAATGGTATAAACAAGGCAATGCTGATAATCAGGTGCCATTTATGTCTTCCCTTTCTATTTGACTACGTTGCATTTCACTTAGATTTCATAAAAATAAACCTATTCATAATTAATTTTCTATAAATAAGGTACTTTTACCTGTGTGAAGCTTTCTACAACATAATTAATTAAAATAGTTATTGACTCATGGCAATAAGGTTGATAATAGGTAACAGACGAATATAATTAATATATTTACAATGGATTGTCCAACCAGCTTACCTCCCGCTGTTCCAGACTAATAAGTAATTAATTTTCTACCATGTAGGTATCTAATATTTACTATTACACGTTTTTTTAATTAAATTAAATACTTATTACCATGCATAAGTGAAATTCCGAATGTTTGCGCGTCACTTCAGAAAGCTGCACCTACGTATTTGACTAATTCTCAGGACATGTTTTGTATGAAAAATAGATGTTTAAAAAAATAATGAATAAGTAAGAAATTATATCAAAACATCTACGAATAAAAAAATAGAACAATTATAGACAGATTATGTTCAGATCTTCTGTATTCTGCCTGTTATTCTACAGTTTTTTACCTACCAATTGATACAATTTTATCTAAAACAACAACTAAATAAAAGTAGTGGTAATATATTATTTACTAGCTGTGCCTGCGATTACACCCGCGTGTAATTCTCATGTCTAAAGCTATATTATTGGAAAGTTTCATCAAAATCACCTCAGTAGTTTTTGCGTGAAAGAGTAACAAATCTCCATCCATACTCACAAACTTTCGCGTACACATAACGTAACATAATATTAATAAGATTTATGAACAAAATATTTTGTTTCATTTATTCCGTCAGTACACCAGTGCGAAGCTACGAAGTGAATGTAGTTAAAGATAAACTTACTTTCTTGTTTGGAGCAAAGTAAACTCGCAGACATGGTATAAATAAAATACATGGACATAATGCGCATTAAGACAATAATAATTTCAATTTCAACACCTGGCTCGTAAGGATATTGAACGTACTCACCGTGTATACACCGAATACCCTTTTTTACCCGCGTTTCATAGTAATCATCTCGGCCTTTCATATTTATAGCTCAGTCCTGAAACCTGCGTTAAATATTAAAATATTCATGGCCCACATAAAACAGTAGAGTCAATGAAACTGCCGACATAATTAACTGGGCGCTTATTAGAGGCAGATAACATCGCGGAGTATTTAATGACCCATAGCTGTATGCACATGTGTAGTGTACTGCATTACATACTAACACAAATAAACCAATGTCTTTACACTTTATAGTCGCCTAGTAATAAATGTTTAAAGTCGTTGAAGGTTAATATATTTTTTATTTATCTCGTAGTGTTGCTAGAATGCAATTAGGTAAAAAGTTTAATGTGTGTATTTTTATACATTTTCATTTGAATTTGTCCAGTAATATTTATAATAGTAATTGAGTAACAAATATCACATAAACTTCCATATTTATAATACTAAATTAATAATGCATATTTATTCAAACTTATGCAGATGGGCAATGTTTATAACTTCAGTTATCTTGCTTATGATAATTATTTATTTATTCAATAATAAGTACTTATGATTTGTACGTAATTGTGTATTTTAACGATGTGAATTAATAACTATTCAATATTCATTATTTATCGTTCCTGTCTATTTTATTTATAAGGTGCTGTTTCAATTGAATGGAATCATTAATCATTGTGTATTTATTTTCTTTCATTCCCTAATCTGATCACTGTTATCGGTTACATCATCCTATCTTATAACTGCGTAAATTGGATTGGAAATATTATAATATATATTCACAAATAAATAAAATTGAAGTGTCTGTTTGTAGTTTCAAATTAACAGTTTTACACTAAAGCCATATGAAACTATAGACGGTACTTACATCAAAAAAGTAATTAAAACAAAATTAACAGTTTATTTGTTCTTGTTACTCTTTGAAACAGCTGGGTCGATGTTGACAAAGCTAATGCTAATGTCATAATTAGTAACTTAGGATACTTTGATTTTAGAAATTTAATTTAATTTAATAAAACAAAGTTTCATGTCACGCAGACGAATTCGTCGATAACAGCTAACTAACTCATCGATATTAATAATTAAGTAATAGCGCTAATTTACAAAATAAAAACAAAGCAATAAACACTACCGGTAATGAAATAGTGAACGGTTAGTGAATAATTAGATCAACGTACATGACAAGCTACAAATGTAAAACTATCTACCTAAACATAGTATAAATGAAAGCCCCTTTCTGTGTCGGTATGTATACTATAATTTCAAGATTACTGAATGGATGCAGTTCTTATACATCAACGGAATAATTTCTGAGGAATGTGTGTATTCGTTAAGGTTTACATCAATTTTAATAGCCGTGCGAAGCAGGGAAAAGTAGCTAGTACATAACGTTTTTTGTTGTGTACAATGATTTTATTTTCTAGAGTGTGGTCTATATAAAGAAGTTTACAAACACAGTCATTCTCGTCCATCATTAGGATAGACACAAAACAGATCATAATGTAATAATACGCGAGCACGCGTCCTGAACGCCATTAGAGGGCAGCTCGCAACACAATGCCGCTCCCCGGTGCCGCTCGTAATTATTATAAAACACGATAATAAATCACCATCTGCTCGCTTCTGTTGCCACTTTCCAAATTTATCCGCCCGTTGGCCTCGCCGCCGTGGGGATCAGGGGAGGCAATTCACGCCCTTCCTCTTGAAGTTTATTTATTTTCGGCTAATGGCGGCGAGGAGCTTACGGAAATTAAATACTGTTTGCTGTGCGACTCCAACCGCGTTATAATTATATCAGGCCTCGCGTGTATAGCGACGTTTATAGCGTTTAATCATTTGCTTGTAAGCAGACACCTTGTTCATATTAATTCTTTAAACTCGATAAAATTTCTGCCTCTTGTGTGCTCAAACATGCCCCCGAGACCAGTTTGTAAGGCACGTTGTATGACGTTCCCACCGACTCTCCAGACTTAATACTTTTCATTCCTATATTAATTAGTGAACATATTTTATTCTTATCGAGTTTCCATTTATCGCACATTATAAATTCATTAGTTGAAACCGTATTAACACTTAAAATAATTACCTGCAAGTTGCGCCGTTCCTAAAACCGCTTTAATTATTCCTCCATGAAATGAGTTTTATTTGTGTGGTAACCTTTTAAGAGCGCAAAGTTTGTTTTACCTACAGGTAGGTAGCTTGTTGAATGGATGTAAATGAAATCCCCGGAACTTTGTTTGTCCCAGTGCGGTGTGGGAAACAATGAACAAGTCTGATTAGAGATACTCTCCGAGCTGAGCTGCCGACCGACGCCCACACGCCCATTCCGCTCGTGGTATTAACCCAATCGATTTAGTTTGAAAAGAAAAAGCTACGCTAGGGTCGTATCAAATTTAAACAAAGACAGATAAAGTTATTTAACTTTAAGTAAAGCTAATCTTTTTGTTCATCGAATTCTGAAGTTTCTTTGTTTCATAAACACGCCGTAATGGTATCTATTGACGTAATCTCGGTGCCCGGATTTCACAGAAATGTGGAAGCTACAAGGGTAGGATGGCGGAACAAAGCGGCGGATAAGGTGGGGGCGGAGGCACGACAACCATTAAGGCCTGTTGATTACCGCGGCCCGAGCTGTAATTAGCACCGCTTAAATGAACCTATTTCAGTCCGCTGCTCTCCTGGTATATCTATAGCGATTTCAATCAGATGGTGAACGTTTTAGCTAGGATATAATTAATATACATGTAATCTATATGTCTATCTATGCTCTCAACTAATAATTAGATTAACTTCCCTTTGATTACATTATGTATGTAGCTATATTATTACTTGGTGAAGTATTTAATAGGATTAATTGATATTTCTGATAGAGTAGATTTAATAAGACATGTAATTATTTTACTATACTCAAAGCAGATTTCTTGTAATACTTTAGTCATATAATTTGCTAATGCATGATTACCAACACTGGCATATAAAAAAAATCCAGTGTATCACGTTTAAAATAATTAACATAAATGTAATGTTAGTTATTTTTTATATATATGACATTTTATTAGCGATAATTACCAATAATTAGGTAAACAATGTAATTGTGATGTCTAAATATAAATCATTGGTTAAATTATTGGTTTTTTAGTCCGACTTAGTGTTGAAGGTGTGGATTCAAATCATCCAGAAACTGATAATAAATTAAATTAATTCGATAGATGGTAGTATACTCGCCAACTGC